CTAACTGAAAAAATAAATTTTGCGAAATCAAGCTTGACCAGTGCAATCGAGGCAGTCAAACGTCGGTAAACTTCCTTTGTGAGCCAATAAAAATTAAGATCATTGGGAAATGAATTCGTGGCGTATTAATAGAATAATTATTGGTAAAAATCAGTTAGATTAACAACTTTTAATATATAGAAAACCTAGTGCGTTTTGGTAACACTACGTTCCAACAATGGCTTTTATGTAATGTCGCTTAGCAATAAAAGTATAACTTAATATTGTTCTTAGTCTATGTACTGAAAGTGTAAAATGAAATGTATAGATAACAAAACTGGAAAACTATTTGTTGATTTCTTAATTTAGAGTCTCCATTGATTAAAGAGGTTTTTTTTATTATTATTAAAACGTTGTTGATATAACAGAAACTAGCTTAATTCAGAAACTATTTAAGTTTAGAATTGAATCGAAATTTTTACTTTCATGATAAATTTTATGCACTTGGCTTTAGGCTAGGTGATTCCACACTACGTCTTTATTCCAGGCTTATTATACCAACACTCACTACACTTATAAGGTTTCATGGTACACACACACACACCCTCACGGTCCCCTTTCACACCCGTCACTAAAATCATAATGGGCAGACAGTAATCGAGCTATTCTATCTGGATAAATGCATTTTGGCTTTTATGACTTTTCTTTCGAAAAATCAAGCGTGACGTGATGAGACACACACTGCTTTTTATATAGGTTAGATTTAGATGTAAACTCACAAATATATATATATATATATATATATATGTATATATATTCACGTTTAATAATAGCTAATCATATACACGCCTTCCTTATAGATGCATTTGCACATAAACACAAACATATGTACGTGAGTGTATGTATATATATATTATAGTTATTCTTATCAGTCAGTACTGCGCGAAGAGTAAGAATCATATATAGTAAAAAGTTTAAAAGTTATCGGCTGTTCTCCTAAATAAAATAATTTATCAGTTAAATTATTATCCAAACAAACAATGATTTTTCCAAACAGAAATAAGTTGGTACTTAACAATTATCTCAAACTTTTGTAAATATTTATAAACTATTTGTAGTAACCTTTTTAATACATTACTACTGTTCGCGTTATATTATATATAACAAAAGGCTTAATTTTGGTTTAAATATAAGCACGCTAAGTTGTCACTCACACCAAGAAATATAGAACTAGGTTAGATAGCACTATCACTAATCTAGCTGCTTCAGCTCTCAGCTGGTGGTTCGTGTTGAATTTGTTATCCCATATGCACATATCTGATTTAATATTTCAAAGCAAATACGTATTAGTCAAGCATCTGATTTCAATATTAGTGAATCTGAGGTTTTATAGAAGGAGATAGACTTGCCCCTGCACATTTCAGACCATAATCTGGACCAGAAACATAAAATAGATTATACAATATATATATTTTGTTTTAATTTACGCGCATAAAAAACGTTAACTTTTGACAATGACTTTGCTCAAACAAAATAAAATGTAAACGGGAGCGACAAATCGTTATTCTCAATTTTCAAGAAATTATATTCTTACTTTTTACAACCGTGAGTATTTTAATTCTGGTGAACATATCCACGGTTGATTTTTTTTTCGAAATAGATCAGGATTACCTATTGCGTTATTACAGCTCTTAATATGGGGGTGGGATTGTTATTCTGTCGTAAAAACCACAATAAAACAGACTGATGTAAAGGTCTGCTGTATTGCCCAATCAACAGTGCTCTAAAATGAAAATAACCATGTCACATATTGTCACCAGGGGACTAAGTATAACTGTTTTTACGTAGGAGTGTTTATTATGATGGGTGTGAGAAAAGATTTTTATGTTACTAGCTCACTTCCCTTGATACAGCACACCCTTTACCACCCGAACACATCAATGTGAAATCTTTGACCTAACTTTAAAAAATTACAAATATATCCAATAAAAATGGTTTATTTTTGTTAAAATGAGATTTAGATTAATCTTCCATCAATAATGTGAAACATCATAAGTAGTTGAAAGATTATCTTCCTTTAATGAAATTGACCCCCACTATGTACAGACATTATAAAGTTGGAATTAAACTCGTTCTAATTGTTGTCTCAGACTTCTTTACAAAGCATACCCATTTTTCCTGGAGGAACCTGGCTGAATCTGACCCCAACTGAACTTTGACACCTGAACCTTATAGCCTTATAGGTTGCAGTAACGCAGAATAAAACCAAAACTAGTCTCTTAATCTGATTAGGGAAACTGTGCCTGCGTACTATTGAAACAAAAAACATAACAAGAAGCACACAGCTAATATTTTACATTTAAGTTTTTCACAGATGCCTGCAATTCTAAAAAAAAAAGAAGGAAATAATGGCTTTTTATTTCACAGGTGTTAACATGCGACGAGTTTTTACCTGTTCATTAGAATACATATATACGATATATATGTATGTACACACACATATATATATATATGTGTGATTGAAAACTTTTACTACAGTTAAGATTAGTCAGTTATACGACAGGTAAACATGGCATTTACAGAATTATTACCTTATCACAATTATGTTTTTATTTACATATTTTCCTTTTAAACTAAAGTTTTCCTCGTCAAGCCTAACTTGTTTTATATCTTGTTCGATTTAGTGTAATGTGTTTTTTCAAATTCCTAAATTATTACTCAGAGCTTTATGAAAGGGAAGATAATGCATATTTCTTAATGCCTATTGCATACCATTCTTGTGTATGAATTAATTAGATGATTAACTGTTTCGTAATGTAGGCAAAGGAAGGTCCTGGCACACGCCTCACTTTAAATTTGAAGGCTCTAAGAATGTAATCGATGAGGAGTATTCTATAGATAACACATGATCAGCAGACCAATTTTTCAGCAACATGGAGTGCAACTTCTTGCACAGATCATGACCAGAAAGCTGATATACTGCAAGACCAACAGATCAGTTATCCAGCAACATGGAGCGCAACTTTTTGCACAGATCATGACCAGAAAGCTGATATTCTTTAGGCTCATCACAAAGCAAGAAAACAACATGATCGTGAAGGGCATTGAAACCAGAAAGGTTGATTTAGTTTCCCAGCTTTTGGGCTGATGGCCAGTTCTTCGTTAGGGGTTATCCACCAGTTCTAAGGCTAGGGACTAAATAAACTTGTATGTTTCTTTGAAGAAAGGGAGAGTGTGATGTATAAAAAATTTATACATATTTTCTAAGTGGAAGGTAGAATATTTAATAAGAAAATAACATCAAGGATTGACTGGGGATTATTGAAATGGAGACCAAGAAAGGAATAAAGATAGGAAACTGGCGACATTCTGTTCTTGTTATCGT